AAGTAACAACAAGACCCTAAGAAATATTAAATCATTTACACTTGTGTTAAAGATTTCTTTGTTTATTTCTGTTAGTTACTGTCACTGCCTGTTGTTAGTGTGTGAAGTAACTATCAAGTTTCATGTAGTGTGTGAAGTAATTGTCAAGTTTCATTTAGTGTGTGAAGTAAGTGAAGGGTTCTAATAAATGCCTTAAAATTATTTATTTTTTGTTAGTTATTGCCACTGTTTGTGGATGTTGTTAGTGTGTGAAGTAAGTGATGTTGTTAGTGTGTGAAGTAAGTGAAGTTAGTTACTGTCTTTGTTTATTTCTCTTAGTTACTGCCAATGTTTGTGGATGTTGTTAGTGTGTGAAGTAAGTGATGTTGTTAGTGTGTCTTAAAGTTATTGATTTAATAGTTCTTAGGGTCTTGAGGTAGTAGTTGAAGTCTTACTTCCTAATGCTGAAAGAAGAATGTGTGCAAGACATATTTGGGCAAAGTGGCAAAAAAGATGGAGAGGTGAGGAAAGGAGAAAAATATTTTGGAGGTGTGCCAAAGCTAGTTTTGAGGTTAAATTGAGAGATGAATTTGAATATATGGGAAAATTGGGTGATAGAATATGTGAGGCATTGCTTGGATATAACAAAAAATACTGGTGTAGAGCTTTATTTAGTGAAATATCAAAGTGTGATATGGTGAAAAATAATATGTGTGAAACATTTAATTCATAGATTGTTGGTCCTAGACATAAATATGTGATTAGTATGCTTGAAGATATTAGACATAAAATGATGGATAAGCATGGAGATATGATTAAGTTTGCAGATACTTGGATCAGTGATATTTCACCTATGGCAAGACTGATTTTAGAAGAAAACAAAAAGATTGGCAGGACACTATGGGTGAATTGGAATCATGACATTGGATTTGAAATCCAAGAAAGAGAGTATAGACACATAATTGACATGACTAGAAAGACATGTAGCTGTAGGCTGTGGCAGTTGAGGGACATACCTTGCCAACATGCAGTTTGTGCCTTATATCACATTGGGCAAGAACTAGAAGATTATGTGGAATATTGGTACAGAAAAGATACATTCTTAAGTGCTTATTAGTACTTTTTACAATCCATCTCCAATATGGTAATGTAGCCTGATACCAATAACCCACCAATTGAGGCTCCTGAAGTGAAGCCAATGCTTGGAAGACCAGGTAGATGTAGAAGAAAAGATAAAGATGAACCAAGAAAAAAGAAGTGGGAGAAAACATCAAAGAATGGAGTGAAGATGTCATGTTCCAAATGCCATCAAGTTGGGCATAACAAAGAACTTGTAAATCAGTGGTAAGCATTTTTGTCTTTCTTTTAAGTTTTACTCAGTTTTATACTTCTAATTTTGTGTCTTTACAGCCCTCTCAACTGCCCACACAACAACCTTCAATGCCCTTTCAACAACCACCAGTGAGGCTGCCTAGCACTGGAAATGCCTCTTCTTTATGTGCAGATACTTCAAGGTTAAAGGAAGGAAAAAGAAGCAGCCAACTGCAAGGGCAACATCTTCTTCAACTGCATGGACATCATCTTCTTCAGTTGGAACGCCACTACCTTCTTCAGTTGAAAGGCCACCAGCTTCTTCAGTTGGAAGAAAAAGAACAAAAAATGTGAAATTTGGTGTTTACACAGATATACAAACTGGAAGACAAGTGATTAACGTATGTATATTGCCTTCTTTAATTGATTTTCTTACATTTTTATTTAGGTATACTAAATAATGCCCTATGGATTATGCAGCTAGGAAGATCAAGTGAAGTGGTTATCTCAAGTGGGTCTGGGGTAGCATTTAAAGATGCATCACAAACAAATGTTGATCTTGGATTCAAGCCACCTGATTTGAAATGGAAAGTAAAAGATGCAATGACTGAAAATCAACTTCAACAATTGTCAAAGAAAAAGGTGCAAAGCAAATCCAAGGGAAAGTGGGTTCCATAAGAGTTTAAAGTGTTAGTGATGTGGATAAATGTTGATCTAGGAGGTCTTTATTTTTGTTTATTTTGATAACTGTTTGTAAAGGCATACTCCAATTACGGATCATTTTGATGTATTTTGGGTTATTTTGATGTATGTTGCATAGACAAATCTTTGGAGGTTATTTAGTTGTCCTAGTTTAATGGATGTTAAGTTATGTTTTGTAAAGTCTTTTGGTGTTTGTTATGATTGATGTTAGGCTGCCTTGATGTTAGGTGTTTACTATGTATGAAAGTGTGTGAATCATGCTAGTATATTGAAGTAATGTCCTTGTAAGTTGTAAAATTGATGAATATTGAAGCCAATGTTGAGAGACAAACTGTTGCAAACTCTAAAATAGTGCATTTCAATCCATTACTTTGATTGCTTACAATATATATTGGCAGCCACTAACCCATAAAGAAAACTACATTACGAACAAAACGATTCTGGCATAACTTTTTCAATCAATCTACATAACATTTACTACATAAAGAACTCTCTATAAATCCAAGATAGTATCATAATGATCAGCAAAACTCGATATTTCCTCCTAATCTTTTCCTTTTCTTCATCATGTTTTTTATCCTCTTTTGTAATCCCGAAATAGCAATTCTAGCGTGTTCAGTATAATCAAGTTCACACCACCTAAAAAACTTGCATCCAACCTGAATCTTGAGAACTAAAATTTAAACAAAAAAAAGATGTTTTAAATGGAACCATACCCGACCATCTTCACATCCAAGAAACCAACTACCTGGATTGTTTGCAGACCAAGAAATCTTCATTATAGCTCTTTTTCCACAATGACAAAAAAATTAGAAGCCATTTGCACTAAATATGAGCACAAATCGTTTTAAAGAGAGGAAAAAAAAATCTTGGTTTGAAAGAGGAGGAAAGAGAAATGATATTTTGATTTGGAAATATAAAGATATATATAAAAGGGATTCATTAAGGGTAGAGTTGTCATTTCAGCATTTTTTTACCATTGTGGGCCTCAAAAATTACTCCTAACTCGTGCAGAATATGTGCACATCACACGTTTTGCCAGGTAGGACTCGCGTGTTTATTTATTTAAAGGTAAGATAGTTAAAGTGCCTATTTGTGCACTATGAAAGTTGGAGGTCAAAGTTAAAATTTGAAGCAAAGTTTAGGGTCCAATATATGTATTATGCCTAATAAATACTATCACATTCCATTCAATACTATTGTTATATATTTATGAATAAGCGCATATATATATTTGTGTGTGAGTTTACAAATAAAATTACATTTTAGGCAGATCTGTGAGAGCATACTATCAAACTTGAATATCATTAACCTGAATAGCTTATTCATAAGATTACTATACTTGGATATTTCTTCTAGGTTGGACTTTGGCCTATGCTATTTTGCTTCCTGTTTATTTATCAGTCCGGATCTTAGAAGGGATTATTTCTCAATATTTGAGTCTATCTACTACAATCATCAAGGTATGTCCAAGTTACCGTTGAAGTCCAGGGCCGACTCTTGCCTTTGTAAAATAAGGCTTATGCCTTAGTCCCCTAAATTTTGGGGGCCTCAAATTATTATTAAGAATAAATTATGTGTTAAAATTTTTATAGAAAAAATTGATTAATTATGATAAAAAACATATTATTTACCCACTTAACATCTTCTATACTTTGTTAAAAGGAAGAATTACTGAAATACACCTCTTATGTTTCCCTTATTTCCAATATCCCCTTCTATTTCTAAAAACCTCTAAAATTCCTTATTTCTTCAATGTATTCGAGCCAGTTATTTAATGTATCCGAGCTACATATTATGTATCCGAGCTACATATTATGTATCCAGTTTATGTTATAATGTATCTGGGATACTCTTTAATGTATCTGAGCTACATATTATGTATCCGGTTTGTGTTACTTTTTAAGGGATTTAATGTAATTACAAACTAAAGAGGGATAGATTGTAATTTCATATTAAAACTATGTGATTCATAAAATTTACCCTTGTTAAAAATAAGAATTAATAGTGAAAAGTGTTGAACAAAGTGAATTACAAATTCTTTTTTATTTCTTTTTAAAATTTTAGTTTCAAACATTACAACAAGCATATTAAAATGGTGTAGTCGTCAACTTCTTAAATCAGATTCTATGGTTCTAACTCTTATTTTTATTTAATAGTTGTCAACTTATTACTTATAAAATTATGTTAACAATTCATATAATAATTGTCTCACTGAAAGGATGTTTTCAATGTTGAGTTGATAAAATCTTACTTAAAATCAATAACTGAAAAACAATATTAAATACTAAAAATATGTATACGAAGTTTGTTTATATTTTAGGCCTCAAATTGAAATTTCGCTTTAGGCCCCTAATTACGTTGAGCCGCCCCTGCGTTGAACTCCACTCCTTCCTTTCTTACGATTTTACTTGTCACTTTTAGCCTATCAAGAGTAAATTTTGTCAAAGTATTTAATATATGCATTGAATTATGAGGTAGTTTTGAGATTATTATTTTAAGTTTCAAAAATCCCAGTCTTATAAAATAGTTAGGAGAGATATTTTTTTAATTAGTGTTAAGTTTTAAAATTTATGTATTTACACAAACCCCCACCTCACCCCTCCACAGAACACAAAATCCCACCGTGCAATTATGTAAACAGATAACTTGTATCTAAATTTGTTTAATGGGAAAACAACCTAAAATAATATATCTCATAAAAATAGAGCATTTTAATTCAAAATGAAACCCCTAAATATTTAATTTTGTATACTATAAAGTATATGGCCAAATTAACACAAAATTAAAAACGTTAATTCTTAAAAACGTCTGAGTAGTAATTCTAGCTTAGCTTGAGAAAATAAATGGACTAAACTGAAAACAAAAGCAAACTATTATACTTAAGTTTTAAATTTCAAATTATGGAAAAAAGCAAAGGTATATTATGTCAGCGTCAGTTACAGTTGCAATGACAGTGACAGTTACATACCGGCTACCTCTTCATTCTTTTTTAAAGATCAAAAAGATGAAACAAAACGGGAAATTCAATTTCTCTCTCATATTATTGAAATCCTCCGTTAACAAATTACTCAAATTTGCTCTTCTCTGCAACATCACCAGCAACCATGGCGAGAACCAAACACCCCGTGAAACGAAGTCGCACCAAACCTTCTGGTTACTTCTCTAACTCTCCTTTTTAGTATAATTTAACGTAACTGCACACATATCGTAAATTAGAGTTTTGAAAAGGTTAGCGAATTTGGAAATATAGGCAATAACATCAATTGTATATGGCTCAAGTTGAAGAAAAGAAGCGGTGCTTAATGCCTTTTATGCACATTCAACGATGGTTTCTGTGTGTGTGTGAATGTTTACACTAGCGTATACACTTCATTTTAGTTTTCTGGATTTGATTTGATTTTTGTTGAGTTTTGTTGAATTTATGAATCTAAACTGTAAACATTGTAATTGAGCTAAGAACAGAGAAAACTTTCTAGAGAGAATTGATGCTTTCATATTCTCAATGAGTGATACATGTATATATACAGATGTATGACTAACTCTAATTGACTCTAACTAATTCTGACGAATCTGTAACTAACTAGTGTACTTGCATTACTAACATTGTAATGCATAATCATAACGACTAACAACATGACTTAACTACTTGAATTAAGGCACATTAACACTTTTACTTAATTCCTTTACACCCCCCTCAAGCTAGGTGCTATGAAGATGTTCTTCATTCCAAAGGAATATATGTAGTAACCAAAAGACCATCTTGAACCTTCTCTCGAATAAAATGACAATCAATGTCAATATGTTTCGTTCTTTCATGAAAAACAGGTTTGGCTGCTATTTGAATAGCTGAAGTACTATCTGAATACAATGAGACTGGAAGAGATTTGATTTCTATGAGATGGGAGACTGTCCATGTTGAATCATAAAACCAGTAATTGACTTCCTATCATTTGACACAAGAGTCCCAGTCTACATCACAAAATACTGTTAAAATATCATTACCAGCAGATGACATTAATATTCCTAAGCCTGGCTCAGACTTCAGGTATTTCACCAGCCTTAGGGAAACATTCATATGAGACACTTTTGGAGAGTGCATAAATTGGCTCAGACATTGGACAGTGAAAGAGATGTCTGGTCTGGTAGTTGTAAGATACAATAATCTCCCTACTAATCTCTAGTACTTAATGGGATCAGGAAGCAATGGATCATGATGGACAGATGGAACATGTTCATCATATGTAGTGGTAGTGAGCTGCATGTTTAACTCCATTGGAGTTGATACAGGTTTTGCCCCTGCCAAACCCATGTCTGCAATAAGTTCCAGGGAATATTTCCTTTGGTGGATGAGGATACCACCTGCACTTCTGGCAAACTCCAAACCCAAAAAATACCTCAATTCACCTAAATCTTTTATCTTAAAGGCATGTTGTAGGGCCTCCTTAGTCTCCTGTATCATAGAAGTATCATTCCCTGTAAGTAGTAAATCATCAACATAGACAAGCACTATCACTAATTTGTCATATTTCCTCTTAGTGAATAAGGAATAATCCTTAGTGCTTTGATGAAACCCTGAATCAGTCAAGGTAGTAGTGAGTTTAATATTCCATTGCCTTGAAGCTTGCTTAAGTCCATAAAGTGACTTAAGTAGCCTGCATGCTTTGGTTCCTCTAGATTGAGTGTTAAAACCATTAGGCAAGCTCATATATGCTTCTTCAAATAGGTCCCCTTGTAAGAATGCATTATACACATCCATCTGATGTATAGGCCAATTGTTAGCAGCTGCAATAGAAATGACAGATCTAACAGTAGCCATCTTCACTACAGGGGAGAATGTCTCCTGGTAATCAAAACCTTTTTTCTGATTGTAGCCCTTGGATACCAACCTAGCCTTAAACCTTTCTATTGTGCCATCAGCATTATATTTAATCTTGTAGACCCACCTGCATCCTATAGCTTTCTTCCCATGTGGTAAATCTACCAACTCCCAGGTTTTGTTGTCTTCCAAAGCCTGTATTTCACACTTCATAGCTTCTATCCATCTGACATCCTGAGCAGCTTCTGTGTAACTAGTTGGTTCTGTCTCAATAGAGAACTTGGAAACAAAACTTTGGTATGCAGGAGAGAGATTTGTGTAATCTATATGAGAGGCAATAGAATAAAGACAATGTGTAGATCCAGCAGCAGTTACATAATCCTTGTGCCATAATAGGAGGTTTAAGACCTCTAGTAGATTTCCTTGTTCCTGGGAAGAATCCACTGAAGTGTCTTCTGAAGAATCCTGAACATGTATGGGAGATTTTAGGTGTTTAGTGCAGAGCGAAAAGTTAGCCCAATGACCTTTTAAGATAATACTGGGAAACGGAGGAGAGCAGTTGCCTTAGGGTCTCAACTACTTTTATGGATAATGAGCACCTGCTGGGCATCTCTAGGTCTTTAGAACAGCCTACTTGTTTGCTTGGCATGCTTTGTTTTATGATGCGTAAAATTTATATTATTTCATTATTCTTGATGCACAGTGAAAAAATATTTTGACCTGGCTCGACGACTTGGAGGAAATGGACAATCTTGGTGAAGCAAAAAATACCATCTTATCCCAAGTAGATAATCGTATAACTTCAAGTTCAAATAATCAGCCTCTGATGGGCCAAGTAGATAATCGACGATTTGTAGATTGTTCTTATTTGACCATTACCTCTTTTTGTAATTGAATGGGCAAATTATCTTCAAGTTCTCAATACTGTAGTAGCAATTCTTTCGGCCATAGTTTGACTTAATTGGTCGATGTGATTTGGACGAGCTACGCTACGTATATGTCATGCAGAAAGTAGTCTGTATTTTATGGTTTAGGCTGCACATACATATCCTTTAGTAGGTTTTTGAGGAAAGCAGTTTCTCTTTTACCTCCTTATGCTTTCTTTTCCATTTTGTTTTGGGGATCCAAGCTACTGATCATTTTCTTGTCTATGTACTTCTACTTTTAGATTTATATCTTATGCCTTTTTGGTTGGTTTACTTGTTATGTTTATGTGTGCAGTATATATGTAATCATATTATCTTAGCTTTAGATGACAATATTATTACTCCAGTATGTATCCAGAATATTAGTTAATGGTGCAAAAATATCAACTGTATCCAACTATGCATTACAATATATTGCGACAATAATTAAGTGCAAAATAAGCTTTCTCTTGGTAAATATACTTCCTCCAATCTATTTTATTTTATATGTTAGTTTTTTTCATGTTCTTTAAGAAAATATAATAAATAGAGTAATTTGACTAAATTATTCATTTTTATTTTTTGATTTTAATTTGTACTACTTTTTTTTCATTATAGTAATATCTCTTCTTGAGTCAAAATAAATAATTAACTATATCTTAATTTCAAATACTCTTAGCGTTTTCCCTTCTCATCCCTTCTGTTTTTCTTACATATTAGACTTAATTAAGCAAAGAGGTCAACAAATTGTATAGTATCAAAAATAGAAAGTCTGGTAGCTGGAGTATGCAGTTCTTTTTTGCACAGCTTCAAACAATTGGATATCTCTAGAGTTCATTTGGAAAGAGAACTTTCTTTTTCTTAGCTATTTACACAGTAATGTTGCAATCGGCAATTCAGTGCTAACTGTCTTTCTATGCTTCTAATTCTCTCTATTGAATTTTCAAACTCTGAAGATATATAATGATGGTTTTATAATCTTTACTGTTGGAGAGAAGTATGTTATTTTATTAATATGTATATGAATTTATACAAGAGAGCAAACAATAAATAAGGAAAGAATCAACTAATACATGATTGTGAACTTCTCATAATCATAATAGAAACTAAATCACTATTGAGATACTAAGATATTGAAGATCAATCAAGAGATATCATAATATCAATGAAGAGATATCACTAATATACCCCCGCAAGATGGTAGATCAGTCTCACATACCAATCTTGGACCTTAGTGCTTCAAATGGAGCTTTTGGAAGCGGCTTGGTGAGAAGAAGATCATCTAGCTGATCTCGGGAAGAACCATGAGAAACACGCAGCAAGCCTTGTTGGACGAGATGTCAAACAAAATAATCGTGTTATCACTAGATAACTAGTGGTTCCTTGATAAAAATAGACAACCCCTGAAGTAGATTACAGATCCAACAAATTTCAGCTGACGCTGAAGCAATAACACGATTTTCAGCTTCTATGGATGAGCGAGCAACAACTCTTTGCATCTTAGTGTTGGGGAAAACGCGGATTAACACAAAAATATATATGGTCAAAATAATGAAAATAAAATGGAAAAATAATGACACCAAGAATTTTACATGAAAACTCTTCTAAATAAGGGAAAAATCACGGGCCAAGAGGAGCAACTGATATCACTATAGTAAGGAATTTTACATTGTGTAGTCACGAATACAATACTCAAAGTGACTACTACAGACTCAAAAGGAATAACACTCTTTTGATTTCCACCTTACTAAAATATCGCTCACACTCTATTTTTCTTCACAGACTATTTTTCTTATAAAGTCTATGGAATACGTCACTTTGCTCTCAAAATAAATTTTTTCTCTCTAACTTGGTGTATTTTACAAATGAGCTAATGAACTCCTTTTATAGAAGAAATTTGCAAATGCAAATTTCAGCACCATCCACAATATGTCAAAGTGGTGCCACCAAAAGTTTTTAATTGTTGTGTTTCTCAACATTTGTCGCCACTGCAAATTTGCCAACCTTGCCAACCATTGACAATTGCATGCAACAATTGTTGAAGTTAATAATGGGGCAGGCCTTGTTGGACGAGATGTCAAACAAAATAATCGTGTTATCACTAGATAACTAGTGGTTCATTGATAAAAATAGACACCCTGAAGTAGATTACAAATCCAATAAATTTCAGCTGACGCTGAAGCAATAACACGATTTTCAGCTTCGATGAATGAGCGAACAACAACTCTTTGCTTCTTAAAACTCCATGAGATTGGATTGGAGCCTAAAAACATAATATATGTTGTAGTAAAGGAGAGATCTTCATGGTTACCTGCCCAGTCTGAGTCAGAGAAGGCGTGCAGATTTAGTGACTTACCTTTGCGAAAAAACAGACCATTAGCAAATGTGCCAGAAAGATAGCACAGAACTCCATTACAAAAAGAAGCCTAAATAGCGGAGATTTATTTAACATACTAAACCCATAGTTTGTTGTAACTGAGGTTTCAGCAACTCCAGAGTTAGGTCTGCCATAATTAAGTTGTGAGGGGTTTTTCGCTAACCCCTGTAACAAGCAACAGGGGTTGTTTTGCAGCAGTTTGAACCTACAAATTAATTCTTAGAACAGTGCTCTAAAGCTAATTAAGCCAATAATAGTTCAAACAACCATAAATTTACAAGTAATGATACTGCTGCAGCAATAAAAAAAGTTACAGTATAAAAAGTAATATCCAACAAGTTACAGTATTAAAAGTAATATCCTAATATTTTTCCAATCCATTTGTGTTATACATATTTCTAACAAATTTCCAAAAACATTAAGAATTGGGCATCCAGTAAGATACTTCATCACTATGAGAAGTTCATTCATCAGAAGAATTGGTCAAGTACTCTGGCTCCAATTCTGTCCAGGTCACCATTTCAGCATTCATATTCCTCCACTGATAACCATCCTTTTCAATCTGCAAATATGTTCACATTGCTTTATATCATTAGTATTGGTCGCGCTGCAGGCATAATTAAGTAATTAATAGCAAATATGTGCTCACAACATAGATATTCTACGGTGATCTCAGATGTACGATAATCGACACTAGACTGATGAACCCATTTAACAGAAACTAAAGCAGATGCACAACTAGAGTCAACCCTACCTTCACAATATTGTCAGCATACTTCATCACCATTGATACTGCAATACCACTGCGGAGACAAGTCTTGGTCAGTAAACAATTAAAAGGCCACTGATCCATGATGCAATCAATCCAATTTAAAACAGATGAATGATAGAATGTTAAACCAAAAAACCACAGGCAAAAGAAAAAAAAAAGGAATAATGCAGCAGAAATGAAACTTACACCTAAAGTTGCTCTATCTAAATAACCCAGTTTCAGTGTATAGACAAATCATGTTGAATGGCTGAGTAGGTTTGCAAATGAACACAATAAGGGGTGAGTGTACAGTACTGTATAACAATTTTTTTTAAAAAAAAGCACATTGAGCAAATACGAGAAACAAACAATTTAGGAAAATATGCAACTTGGCAGCTGAACATTCAGAGCCCATGAAGAGAAACATAAAGGTGTGTCATACTCGGTAGTAGAGTTATACGTCTTCTTCTCTTCCTCCTTAGCTGCAACTGCCATTTCTCTTTGCTTCTTCAGTTCCCTGTTTAATACCATGTGTTATAGTAACATTAATTACAATGGTAAATATCTTTAGAATGACCTGTAACTTAAATAGTTTGTGTCACAAACCTTAGCAACAAAGCTAGGAAATGAGGAAGACATGTGATACAATATATCCAAGAAAGAAATGTGGCTTCTTATATAGAGTTGAAAGAGACTTTCTGATTTTGAGCAGCAATTAATTGCTGGAAACAGAGTGAAACTGTAGGTGCGGAGCACGCTAGTTTTGATGGTACTTATGTACTAATACAAGCTCTAGTTCTTGAAAATTCTGGACACTTTTCAGCTGCTAAGGTGTGAGCTACAACTTCAAAATATGATGTGTTGGTTGAGCACTAATAGTGCATCTAATGAGTTTGTGATCTCAATTTCTTGAGGAGAAGTTGTGCAACAAACTGGACAGCAACTTGTCACGAATGAGGTCCAAAATAATGCATCTAACGTGTTTTTTGAAAGGATACTTAAAGTAGATATATAATCAGAACTACATATATCAAGAAACGAGTTGCTTCCTACGATCGTGATTAAAACACTTAAATTACTTGTCCCAAATTTAAATCTTAACCGGACTGACATAGGTAATCAAATAACATACAAGAGCATATGGGTCCGATTCCACCTAGTGCCGAGAGTCTTTAACATTCGAGCAAAGGATCTATCAAAAACCACTCTAGTAGAACAAATGTATATCTATATAATCTAGAATAGATAACACGATGGTACTACAATTGCACATAACAATATCCAGATCCTTCAAATTCAGTCAACATTCTGAAAATGTGTTTAATATTAGTGACTGGTTGTAACTAGAAGATCCTAGGAATGATGTAAGTAAAACTTTTTGGAGGGGGACTACACTTTGATGTAGTATACCTGTGGATATATAGAAGTAATGTTACCTTTCTCAAAAAAAAATAATCAGTCAACATTCAGAACTTTATTGGATACTAGGACTGGGAAATTCAGTCTAGAAATGATAATAGAAACTGACTCATTGATTTGCAATTTGCACCAAATAATATTTTTTCACACATTGCATCATATGCTGAAACATCTAAGAGCTTAGGAGTTAGATTCAGTGCTAACAAATCCAGCTGATTCCTCATAAAGTACAACTTACCGCATCAATATACTTAACGAAAACACACTAATTCCAGAATCAAAATTCAGAAATAAATCGAACAAACAACTAACTTTAGCTCTATCTGAATCAAACAGACTATTCATAACTCCTAATACTGCACATGAGGGAGAAGATATTCTCACCTGTGACGATTTTGAGAATATTCGTCGATGGAAGAGCAAATTTGCGAGCTTAGAGAGAATCCAATAAATCTTCTCCTCTTCTTTAATGGAAAATCAACACCTAACGAGAGCTCCTCTTCTCTTCTGCGAACATAAATCACCAGACTTCTCTTCTTCTCTTCATATAATGGATGTTGTGGAGTGACAGAGAGCGAGAAAATTCTGAGAGCATTTTCCCGGCGAACCTAAAATTTTGGGAGGAAAAATAATGAGAGAAAGTTCCAAACCCTGGCACACATTTTCATTATAATGGTTTTTTTTTAGTAAATACTAATAAACTAACGTAGCATAACCGCCGCAATTTTGAATTAAATTGCACGGGTTGAATAAACCCCCATAATTTGACATAATTTCTGAAGGTTAGTCTGACCTCCCCAATTAAGCCTCCACAAAGTATGCATTTTTTTGTAGTGCTCGTTTAACCATAGTCTGGTGTGTAGTTGTTGGAGCACTTGCAAACTGAGACAATTTGCAAACAACAAAGGCAACATCTGGTCTGGTAAGATGAAGATATTATAAACTTCCAACTATACAACGATATTCTTTTGGATCTTCAAGTAAAGAGCCATCACTACTCATGGAACAAGCTCTGTGTGCCATTGGTGTGTGCATGGGATTAGCTTCAACCATGTTGGCTCAGTCTAAGATCTCATAGATATACCTCTGCTGACTTCAGAAAATTCCATATGGTGAGCGAATAACTTGAACTGAGCCAACATGGTTGAAGCTATTAACTTGAATAACTTTAATAGAAAATTGATTAGCAAGATACTTAATAAAATCTTCCACCGAACATTGATGATTACCCGTGATAATTAGCTCATCAACATATACAATGAGGTAGAGCATAACTCTAGATTTAGCATATATAAACAAGCGGTAATCTGGCTGAGAGTGGCAAAATCCATATGGAATAAGATAGGATTTGAGTTCCTCGTACCCATGCTCACTGATCCTGTTAGAGCTGAAGTGATAGTGTCATATTCAGATGGAAGTCCACGATGAGCATAAAGGAAGAGCTCATCCACTGAAACTTGGATGCAAGAAAGACTAAAGTGCTGCAGATTTTGCTTGATCTTTTGTAGATATGAAGTAATAGAGAGGTTACCCTTTTTCAAGTTTCTTAGAGACTCTTTAAGACTCATGATACGAGCACGCGATGGCTTCGCATACGTTTCCATTTTGATTTTTCCAAAGATAAAAGAAAGATTTGACATCAATGACAAATGGAACAATATCAGAAGATAAAGAGGCAACAATGACACTCCGAATGAGATGGTCTTGTCATTGATGAAAAGGTTTGGTCGTTGAACTTGGTGGTTGCTCATTAAAATGGAGAAAATCATATGCACTGAGGTTACTGTGAACTACGGTTGGTTAGTAAGCTTGACCTTATATAAAGGTCATGTTATCATTTGGGAAGTGGAAGAAAGGAAGGGTGTGGTGATACACCATTTATTTATCACCGAGGTTGTCGCTTGTGAGTTATTGGTATGTTTTCGGCATAGTTGTTCTTCTTTGTTAGCTGCATATACTCCTCCTATATGATTATGTTATAAGACAAAGTTATCATTTGAAGGACGTCGACAACACGTCGTAACTGACCAAGAAGAGAAGCAAGGCATAGTGGGAGAGTGCAACTTATCAAAAGTATACATTGCAAACATATCGGGCACACATTTTCTAGCTGCCAAAAAAAGTGATTCAAATGATCTCTAGCATCTGCCACTACACCATTTTAGGTCTACAGCCACACTAATTCTGGACTACATTTGTAAAGTGTTGCCTAAAGTAGTTTTGGGAACGCTTTTAAAGCGTAGCCAAAGTTTTTACCTTTTAGTCACGATAATAATGGCAACACTTCAAAAGTGTACTCTTTAATGGTATAAGCTACACTTTATAAGTGTTGTTACAATATGATATAATTGGCAACACCTATTTACATATATGGCCACACTTTCAAAGTGTCCTATTTTTATAATTGAAAAACCAACACATTATAAGTGTAGCCTTAAAATTTTCACTAAAATTTTATATTCCCTCCAATATTTTTAACCCTCCCTCCCATTTTTTATTGGCCAAAAAAAATAAAGATTAATAAATCATAAAACATTAATCAGTCTTTCACGCTTCACTTTCCTCATTCACGCTTTCCTCTTTCACTGAGCTAGCTGAACCTAAGTGAAGAGAGGTGAAGAGAGCTGAAGAACCAAAGAAACGATTCTCTTCTCCGATACAGATTTGTGAGAAAAAGATGTTGAATAGTTGATGTCGCCAAAGATGAGCTGAAGAGTTGAAGTCATCGAAGAGTTGAAGTCGATGAAGAGTAAGTACGATTCTCTTTTCCAATACCTATTTCGTCAAGCTTAAGTACTAAATCAGTCTTCTTGTTAGCTAAAGTGGTTGATTTTTTTGTTTGTGTTTAGAAGAGGAATAAGAAGGGATTGATTATTTGGGGTTGTTGGCAAGATGAACTGGAGCTAATTAGTCTCTCCGTCATGCTTTTCTCTCAAATTTCTCACTGAAGAACACGATTTCAGAAAAATTTTGTGGGTAAGTGCCCGAATTGCGACTTGAGAGAAGTCTATTGTTGGAGTAGTATGAAGAATGGTATTGCAGAATTCGTGGGTAAGTGCCCGAATTGCCAACAAGTCAAGGTAGAGCACCAGAGGCCCGATGGCATGGTTCAAAACATAGATCTTCCAGAATGGAAGTGGGAGATGATCAATATACACTTCATTACAGGTTTACTGCGTTCGCGCATGCAACATGATTTGATTTGGGTGATTGTAGATCGAATGACTAAATCAACCAATTTCTTACCGGTAAAGACTACTTTTACAGCAGAGGATTATGCCAACTTATACATTCAAGAGATATTTAGACTTAATGGAGTTCCAGTATCTATTCTTTCAGATAGAGGAGTTTAATTCACCGCACAATTTTAGAAGTCTTTTCAGAAAGGTTTGGGTTCCAAGGTAAATTTGAATACTGCTTTTCATCCTCAGACTGATGGTCAAGCAGAGCGTAGGATTCAGACTTTAGAGGATATGATGAGGGCTTGTGTGATCGACTTCAAGGGTAGTTGGGATGATCACTTACCTTTAATAGAGTTTACTTACAACAATAGTTATCACTCTAGCATACACATGGCTCCCTATGAGGCTCTTTATGGGAGAAGTATTTTATATTATTTTTAAATATATATTGATAAAGTATTTTAAGTCGTTAAGCACCCAAACAAAATCACTTTCACAAAGACCCAAATCAAAATCAATAGTTCATCTTCCTCACAATATTTCTCTCTCTAAAAACTCAAGAAAAAGAAGAGTAAAATCGAAGATTGGGCTTCAAGAAATCAAGGGTTTTTCATCAAATTCTTTCAATATTCATCATCAAGGTATGGTAGTTTTCATATTTGGCTAGATTCCACCCATAGAGCCCCTTCAAAACATGATTTCAAAACTTACAATTTTCCCCAAATTCAAGGGTTTTGTTCGAGTGACTTGGGTTCTATTTAAAAATGATTTAAATGGTTGAATTATGTTGGGTTATGATTGAATTGATGATTTATGATTGAATTATGGTGAAATTCCCTCAAGAACCCATGAATTATGGTGATCATAATGTGGGTTAATTAATTTTAGAAGTATGTAAATGGTCTTGTATGAATTAATTGAATTGATTGAATTATGTTATTACCCATATCTAATGTAGAAATTCTAGATGTTGGGTCGAATGTGATTCTTGAAAGTTGAATTATGATAATTGTACATGAGTATGAGAATTATGCAGTGCTTCAAGATTTATGTTTTGTTGTTACAATATGATATAATTGGCAACACCTATTTACATATATGGCCACACTTTTAAAGTGTCCTATTTTTATAATTGAAAAAACAACACATTATAAGTGTGGCCTTAAAATTTTCACTAAAATTTTATGTTCCCTCCAATATTTTTAACTCTCCTTCCCATTTTTTATTGGCCAAAAAAAATAAAGATTAATAAATCATAAAACATTAATCAGTCTTTCACGCTTCACTTTCCTCATTCACGCTTTCCTCTTTCACTGAGCTAGCTGAACCTAAGTGAAGAGAGGTGAAGAGAGCTGAAGAACCAAAGAAACGATTCTCTTCTCCGATACAGATTTGTGAGAAAAAGATGTTGAATAGTTGATGTCGCCAAAGATGAGCTGAAGAGTTGAAGTCATCGAAGAGTTGAAGTCGCTGAAGAGTAAGTACGATTCTCTTTTCCAATACCTGTTTCGTCAAGCTTAAGTACTAAATCAGTCTTCTTGATATCTAAAGTGGTTGATTTTGTTTTAAGTTTAGAAGAGGAATAAGAAGGAATTGATTATTTGGGGTTGTTGGCAAGATGAACTGAAGCTAATTAGTCTCTCCGTCATGCTTTTCTCTCAAATTTCTCACTGAAGAACACGATTTCAGACATATTTTGTTGTAATAGGGTTTATTAGGTAAGAAATTCTATATTTGAAAGTCTAAATTTTAGCTTTAGGGTTTTGATAATCTTGTGTTTTATACGATTTTTGGGAGTGTAGCTAGTAATTTAGCTTCATCAGTTCAGTTCACTGTTAGGGGTTGGAAAAAAGTTGGGATTTATTTGAGCAAAAACATTTAGAGCAACTGAAGAAAATAGTTAAAATATATATATAGAAACACATTCAAGGCAGGGAGAGTTAAGTGTCGATAAGAGTATCACATTTTCTAATTCGTTTCGCAGATCAGTTTTCCCAAGCTTTGTTCGAGTCCGAGATTCTGTCCAGAATTCTCATCCGTCATAAGTGTTCGAGTCTCGTGGTGAAGATTGTTTCCTTGCTCGTCCTGTTCCAGTTCACTGCCCGAAGAAAGGTAATGTCGTTTTCCGCATAGTACTCTTTTCGCCTCTTCTATTTTAAGAGTGATATTGTGACTGTTTAAAGCTGTTTTGATTAGTTTCTTTCTTTTTAGTTGATTTATCTTTGAGTTGATGTTGATTCAATATGAGATATGTGTTTCTTAATTAGTTACTTTCGCGGGTCTGATAAATATCGCTTTAAAGATTCGAGAATTTGTATTCATTGTTGTTATTCCCCTACTTGTCATTCAAAGTTTTGTTTTGTTGTTTTTCTTCCTGATCTTGCTTTTGGAATGTGCATTGGAGTACTTGGTTTTGTTCTGCTAAATGCTAGATTGCTCTCAGGGGATGTGCATTGTTACCGCACACTTTTATTCTCCCATAATCTCATAGGTTGCATATGGTTGTAGCCTGTGATATCTATCTATCTATTGTCTTATGAAGAAATCAACACCTGTGTTACCTCCATAGTTTTGTAGTAAAAAATATCAATAGGTTTATCTATTGTAACTGTAATTTTATAGGAGGAATGAGCACTTATAGTCTCTAATGCAACATCAATTCAAAATATCATTTTTTGATAGATATTCAAGGTAACAATCCTATGTAGCCTTCATATGATTATATAAAAGCTTCTTTTATTTTGTTGGAATAGAGTTTATCATGTAAGAAATTCTATCTTTGAAAGTCTAAATTTTAGCTTTAGGGTTTTGATATTCTTGTGTTTTTTATTACGATTTTTGGGAGTGTAGCTAGTATTTTAGCTTCATCAGTTGAATTTTGGGAGTGTAGCCCGTATTTTAGCTTCATCGATTTATTCTTTGCCCTGAGCATTAATCACTAAATAAGTATAAGTGGGATGATTATTCACTTGAGAATTTCTTTTTTATTAGGCTTATAAGCCGATTAGGGCTGAAATCGTCCATGATAGTTTAGAAATTTGAGTTCATGTAATCGATTTTGAACTCTTACAATAAATATGCCTTGAGTTCAAACAAGTAGCTAACCAATACAGTTTGATTCTTCACTTCATGTAATCAATTTAGAAAAGTGAAGTTTGCTCATACTTAGATTCTTTATTCCAGTATCTAAGGTGTACAAAAAGAGTACTGGAATTGCTCGATATAACCTAGTACTTATTTGGATATCTGTTTTATGGTTTGTAGGTTGAACATGTGGATTCTCGAATCTAAATTATGTGAAAGTTTCTGCTCTCTCACGATAGATGTTGGATATGATATCTATTTCCTTTATCAAGTCAATAGCATAGTGATGGTCACCATATTATCAATTATCCAGATAGTAATTGAGCAATGCATTATTGTGAGTTGATATTCTATGAACACTGAGAAGAAGGATCATCTAGCTGGCTGGAATGCCTTGGTCTATACTGTTTTACATGACTAAAAAAAGTGCAGGTCTAAATGCTTGGTCTAGACTGTTTTACATGACTCAAGAAAAAATTCAGGTTTTGTTCTTATCTAAACTTGTAAAATTCACTAGTAACTACATTTGAAGCCCAAGAAATTTGGGCAAGTTTGTGTAAAAAGCTGTTTTCAAATGGATAACCATGCAATATCTGAAAATCATATCTCTCTGTTGATTTTTTCAAGTCACCTTTGTTAACTTCTTTTCTATGAATGTGGCAATACTTGGTTCCCATTGATGTGGTATTTAGTAGACTTTGTCCTTGATAAACTAGGTCTGATAAGGAATTATTGCTCCAGAAGCCTGTTGGTGGCAATTTTGGTGTTGAATTAGATTGAAAATACTTTTATGTTTAGGTGTTTTGATTTGCTTACTCGGCCGCACGGGTTAAAATATAAGAAGATATATCCTCATCTTTTGAGCTTCAGAAATATAGTTATTGAATGTGTAAGAGAACTAGAAAGGCACAATAGAACATTTAGGATGTACATAAAAGAAAAACACGCTAAGAAATCCTTCATAAATCAAAGTTAAAACTTAACCAAAAACACCACAAAACCAGTAGATTGAAAGATGAAGCCTTCTTCCCTTCAATGAACAACAAAAAGACTACACTGAGCAGCTATAATAAAAGGTACATCCCACTAATATACTTCAGGTTTGAAGCACTGCCCTGACAAAGTCTTATATTGTATTCCTGCAGAATTTTCAGGTTCAAACCTTGTTCTCTGAAACTGTTGTCAAAGATACATTTTAGGTATGGGTTCTGTACTTATTTTACTATCTTAAATCTTTGAAAGTTCAGTCTGTACTTTGTTTTTATCACTCATTGTCTCCTTTCAGCTTCTATACCTAATTTTTTTTTTATATTTTTAGTTGTATGAGTGTTGTATTGTATTGAAGGAGGACCTAGTGATTTTGGGTTGTAGTTGTGTACTTTTTTCCCCTATTGTTTTACTGTTTTGAACTGTGGTGGTTGTTGTGAGAGATGGTTTTAGTTTTCATTGCTTAAACTGATTCTCATAGTTAAAGCTGTCCCTTTTAGATTTCTTGGAATGTTAGAGACTTTGTTGTATTTTGTGAGTGAGTTTGTTGTCACTTGTGCTAGTTAAGCTTTGTTCTGATGTGGTTTGAGTTGTCATCATGTTGCTGCTGGTTCTTGTTTCTAGGAATCTGTGTTTCCTGTACTTTGGTACCCTGTATCTCAGCCTCTTTTTGTTGTCTTCTTTTAATTGTTTCTCTCTTTTTCTTGCTTGGTTTACCTTTTGATTTGTTGTTGGAAGGAGTCTGATCATTATCTTTCCCATTCTGCTGACTGTTATCACCTGTGGGGCCTGGATGATCCCTCTTCTTTATTTCACTGGTAGGAATAATAAGATCTTGCCTCCCTGAAATATTATCATTGCTGTCCTGAATTTTCTGCACTTGAGCCTGACTTGTAGCATTAACTTGAGACCTGTTTGGAACTTGTTGTTTATTCTGAATGTGATGCTGAGGGGTAGCAGGGGCTCTATGGTCTAGACTATGGTCAATCTGAGTGTTCTCATGCCCAGCATGAGACATATTCCCCCTTTGGATACCCTATCCTGCAAAATAGTTGTGTTCTCCTGACACCCTCATTCCAACCCTTCAATAACTTCAACAGCCTCATCCAAACAATTAACAAATGGGTTCTGGGGTAGGGGAGTAGTAGAGTCAATACCTGTGATCCTTTTGCTTTGATTTTTCAGAATTTTTTCTTTTTTTTCCTTGTCGGAATTATTTGACAATTAGTTGGCTGTGGAAGGTAAGTCAGTGGTTGGCTTAATATTAATTTGTGTCTCCATTGTATCCTTATCTTTTGAATTCTGATTTTCAGCTCCTTCTTGATTGTTTGGTTGATCCTGCATAGAAAGATCAATGAAATTATTAGAAGTAGGGAGTGCATAATTAGTAGTCATACCTGTGTGATGAGTCTGCTGCTGCTGCAATGTTTCCTTAGGAGATTTTGGTCTGTGCATGCTATGTTGAACTGGCCTGTAAGCTTTCCTCTTCTGAGTCTGCCATTCTTCATCAGCTGGCTTGTTGTTATTTCCTTGTTTTTGAAGCTGCTGGTACATCTCTTTGCTTAATAGTACAAACATGTGACAAGTGTCCTTGGTGTTTACAATACATAGCAATGCCAAGGTAGCTCCGAACTTATTTTGATTTACAGTGTAGGATTAGGAATGTTTAGACAAATGTTGTCCATAAATGTTTGATACAACCGTGTGCATAGTAAATGATTCAGCCTAGGGATTTTTTAATTGAAACTAAGAGTCCTGTTTTTCATAACAGTACCTCTACATTGGGAAGGGGCTGGGAAGTATTGTTAAAAATGACTAGCATTGAGCATATTAAATACATGATTTATTTCACTAATTTATAATTTTATTTTGAATGTGTAGGAAAATGCCGGTAATTGAATTTGAATTGTGACTAGAAGTAAACTCGATCTATTGTAGTGAACGATGAAGAGTTTTTGTAGTACTATTGTCATATATGTTTGAATGCATTTGGTTTTGTGGAATTTATTGATAGTAGAGATCTTTAAGCATTCACTTTATAAGTATTGGTTGTACAAGACACGTTTCTCGCAGTTTATTTGAAATATATAGCTTTGATTTAATTATTAGTTAATTTTGTGCTTTAGGTCACTTGTATATTTAATTATGTGATTATTGAATATATGCAAATAAAAATTATTATTCTTAAAAATAGAAAATTGTTGCTACAAAATTCTACACAACATTGCCACACTTCAAAAGTGTTGTTGTAGGACATCCAATGTTATCTTGTACATAAGTTACACTTTATAAGTGTTGCTCTAGATGAGATATAAAAGGCAACACTTTTTAAGTGTGACCAATAACAAAGCAAAGGCAACGCTTTTAAGTGTAGTATAATTAAAAAAAGGTGTCGCTAATGCATCACTACAAAGCGTGCCTGGCGACATTTAAAAAGTGTTGCCTAATGTCAAAGGTTACGCTACCCCTTAAAAAGTGTTGCTTAAAGTCAAAAAGTGTAGCCTTTTATCAAAGGCCACACTTTTTGCTAGTTTAGGCTACACTTTACTGGGGTGGCCGTAGGCCTAAAATGGTGTAGTGTGCACAACGTTTTTATGGTCAGGGGCTACAGAAACTTCAAGGAAGTCATTGGTAGCATGGGAACTTTGAACAAACCAAGAGGAGCCAGAGGCTTGGATTTGATTAACTTCCAACATTTTTAATAGAGTAGTCATATGTAAACTACTCTGGATTTTGGCACGATAAAAGAGATGAATTTTGGTTCCAATGGGTTCACAACTTCCATATAATGTTCTACGTGACAAGTTGTCTTTCAATCATATGTTCTTTGTCTGTAAAGATGTATCTTAAGTTGGAATGAGGATGTAAAATGGATATCCAATCAAGTCAATAAAGGAAGTCCTAGCATACAGGTTCTGGGGTGACAACTAAATCAAAGGTGATAATTTGATTTGCGAGGACACTTCAAGATACAAAGGAATCCTTTCCTTGTTGAGGAAGACCTAGTGATCTTTAAAGCTTCCTTGGCATCATCATACCACATTTTCTAGAAATGGATAGTCAGTATAGCCAACAACATGATCAGAAGTATAGAATGTTTCCCTGTTATACTTATTGAGAGGTGCATCAAGCTCAAATCTCTTGGGTAAATCCAAATTAGCTATAAACAGACGTCCATACGCAACAAGATCATCTCGGCCTTTATCCACAGCTTTGTTTCCATCTTCTCTATCGTAACCACCAGCTACAATAAAAGTACCTCTAAATGCCTTCCTCATGGGTACAAGGCTTTTAGGACATTCAACTTTTTCCCCAATTGTTTTCATTCTTGGCTCAACCATGTGACAATAAGATATACCATACTTATTCAAGGATTCAGCCATGTAAAGTCCCAAAGCACTTGGATTTGAGTCTCCAGAATCCATGTAGTTAGCAAATGGGGAAAGCCTTATTCCGACTCTGTCAGCTCCTATCTCATTTACAACTGCTTCAACTATTTCGAGTGCAAATCTACAACGGTTCTCTAAAGTCCCTCCATATTGGTCAGTTCGATTATTGACTTGGTCTTTCATAAACTGGTCAATTAGATAGCCATGAGCTCCATGGATCTCAACCCCATCAAATCCTACAATTGAATAGTTTACATAATAAAATATTGATTTTAGAATCCTACAAAGTGTATTTGAAGGCAATACTGATGTGACAGCACATCACAATTAATCAAGTCACCTAGTAATTAATCTAACAAAGCACTCATATTAGAAAATAGTCTACAAGATGTAAAATTGTTTGCAAAAACTTCTACATCTAAATTTCTTTTCTTTATTTCCCCTAGACCATGGTGGAGATAACTGAAAAGTAACTCATTCTGGTTTAAATTTCTCTGAAGAGCACCGATAATGTCATTTTGGTTGCAAAAGTCATATTGTTCACACAAATTATGTTGCAATTAGTACAAAATTCTTTTCTTGTTTCTCTGCTTTATTGTTTACAGTACAAGTTCTAATCCAATGTTCACATATGACAGTTACATTCTAAATATACGCAATATAAAATGAAGCTACATACTGGGAAAAAATTAAGCTCTTCCTATATGTAACATACTAAAAGGTCATCATATTTTATCAAGTTTGCCGAATAAGTCATTAGAATTATTCAAATACTGATATATTCAACTCATCTTATGCATGTTATTTTCATACCAAGGATCTCACCATCCATTTTATCAAATACTGATTTTGTGTTTTTTGTCTTCTTTCCTTTTAGGGTATTATACATCATAAAAATAGTAAATATGAAATAAAGATTTTGTACTCTAGAATTTAAGACTCAAACAACTTCTATCAAAGTAGACTGAAAAGTTTTACCAGCTTCAATGGCATTTCTAGCAGCAATCCTGAAATCGTTAACAATTTGAGGAATTTCATTTGTGCTCAGCTGTCGTGGCGGAGTTTGAGTTTTTACTGGCTTGTCTGTGCTGGAGATAGGAGCTTGTCGATTGGGCTGGAAATCTGTTAAGAGGATCCGGAGTTACATTTAACGAGATGGTTCTCCCAAAGTATCAAATATGAGTATATAAATTGGTTAAAACCACTGAGGCAAAGTTAGTTACCTTTGGTAGAAATTCTCCCTGTATGCCAAAGTTGGCAAAAAAAGATTCCTCCTTTGTCATGGACAGCACTTACAATTGGTTTCCAGGCCTCGACTTGATCCTTCCTCCATATACCAGGTGTATCTTTGTATCTTCAATTAATAAAGTATTTCAAAAGAGTATTTGGGAGGAAATTAATTAGAACTACAAACTTGGTAAATTGCAAGAACTGAGGTTACCCATGGGAGGTGTCAGAAACTCCTATAGCTTCTGATATAAGAAAACTGCCTTTTGTGGTTCTTTGTGAGTAATAAAGGAAAACATGTGGTTGAGGAACATTGCCATATGATCTTGTCCTTGTTAATGGCGCCAACACAACTCTGCAAAACTTATTAAGTGTTACTAATAAGAAGTAATTCATATTTTATCCATCAATCCAAAAAGAACGATGGTAGCAATTCGTAATTGTGGTGGTAGTAATGATTGGGATGATAAGTTGGTTGATGTTGTTGAGATACTCGTAGTTATCAGGTTGTTAGAGTAGATTTAGTTCAAATTGTTTAATCCAATCTTTTCCGCAAGATTAGATTAAGTTGTTAAAATAGTTCCTTAGAGTTAGTCAAGTTAGTTACATATTAGAATTAGCCAAGTTAGTTCATCTTACTTGTATTTAAGTTGATGTTACGATTGAATTAGATCATTCAAGTTTGCTTTGATTCTCAATCTCTGGTTTCAGAGCCTCTCTAAAACTCTTACGAGTTGGATCCAATTTTTTTTTCTCTCTTCTCTTCAAAAACATGGTTGTCCCTGCTACCACCAGTGACAGTGCCGCTGCAGTCCCAACTACCACTCATGTGGTACAATTTATTCCAGCTGCCCAATTACCCATCAAACTGCAAGGTAACCTCAACTTTGCAACTGGTGATGCTACTCAACAGACACGCTCCTTGGGCATCTCACTGGTGCCAAATCTACTCCGCCAACCACTATCACCCAAACTGATAGTACTGTCTCAAATCCTTAATATCATACATAGTTTTGCCAAGATCAACTAATTCAATAGGCAATGATGGCATCAATTGACCCTACCATTGCTCCCATTGTTGCAACTGCTTCATCGGCAAAAATGGCATGGTATCTCCTTCATATAACTTATACCAACAACAGTCACACTCGTATCTTCAGCTTGCGAGATCAGTTGCAAACTTGAAAAAGGCCTCTAAGATAGTTGCTACTTCCCGACATGAGGTCAAACTAATTGTTGATGCTCTCAAATTAGCAGGCTCTCCAGTAACTGATGATGAACTAGCAGTCAAGATCTTGAGTGTCCTGGGTCATAAGTACCGTGAAATCACTACCACTATAAGAGCGTGTGACACAACCTTAAGGTTTGAGGAGCTATTCCAGAAACTTACGGACCATGAACTCTTTCTCAAACATTAAGATATTGCAAAAGTCATCCTCAATCATCACAACTGCATTTGTACAAAGGACCAACTTTCAGCCCCAACATCACAAGAATAATTACCACTTCCCCAATCAATCTTCGAAACCACAGGCTCAACAATAGGCGTACCCTGGCACAATCAACAAAATGGGAGACAACCCAGGCAAGCTGTTAAATGCCAACTTTGGAAGAAGATCGGCCACACCATTGATGTGTGTTGCTCAAAATTGTGCAATCACTTTGAAGCTAAGGTCAACTTTCTGTCGAATCATCACCAGATGCAAATCCTTGGATCCTTGATTCTGGAGAAATCCATCATGTCACAATAGATTCAGATAAATTTGAAGAATATATTTGCAATGAGGACGTGTCCATGGGTGACGGTAAAACTATTCCCATTATTCACACTAGTTTAACTCAAATTAAGGCTTCTAATTCTAATTTCATGCTCTCTAACACTCTTTGTTGTCCAACTATCAAAAAGAACCTTATTTCTGGTGCTAAGTTTTGCTCTGACAATCTAACCTCAATCGAACTTTCAATAATCTTTTCTTGTGAAGGATCTCAAAACTTGGAGAATGCTGGTACAAGGCTGGAATAAAAATGGGCTCTATTAGTGGCCCCGTAGGATCATATATCACCTTCCGCCAACTTCAATTCTACCAAAGTCTCCCATCAACTATGGTACTCTCGCCTGGGTAATCCTCATCTGAAAATCCTAGACTTAGTACTGAATAAATTTTCACTTCCCTTTTCAACCAAAGAAAAGTTTGATTTTTGTAATTCTTGCTCATCAAATAAAGCTCATTGTTTCTCATATCAACAACTCACTTTAAATAGCAATGCACCACTTCAAACTTTGTTTAGTGATTTATGGGGTCCATCACCCATTTTATCCATTGATAAAAAGTTGTATTACAACATTTTTGTTGATCATTACACCTAATATATTTGGTTGTATACAATCAAAAACAAAAGTGAAGTCGCTTCTATTTTTGCACAATTTCATCCTTTGGTGGAAAAAATTTTTAAACAAAAAATTGCCTTAGTTTATACTGATGGAGGGGGTGAATACACATGTCTTAAACACTACCTACAACGCAATGGCATTGAGCATTTAATTTCCCCATCTTACACACCCCAACGAGTTGCCATAGCTGAACGAAGACATCTTTACATTGTCGAAACAGCTAGAACTCTTCTCAATGAAGCCTCACTACCATTTGAATTATGGTTATTTTCCTGTCACCATGCTGTCTATATGTTAAATAGACTTCCTACACCTGGCTTGAATAATGATTTTCCTTATAAACAATTATATGGCGAACCAATGGCGAACCACAAAAATACTCTTTGATAAAATTTTTTGGTTGACTTTGTTATCCATGGCTTAAACCATATACACACAATAAGTTTCAGCCTAGATCTACACCATGTGTTTATTTAGGAGTTTCTATTGTTCATCATGCACACCTCTATTTTGATCCAATGAACTCAAAAATATTTGTTAGTTGTGATGTTCAATTTTGTGAAAATATTTTTCCTTTTACTCTAATGTTCTCACACTTGAAAAAATAAAATTTCCATGTAAAAATGGGAAATCATAGCGTCTCTAGTCTGTAAGGTTACCCATCCAGAAGTCCAACACAATTTGGACTCCAATCTCGTTCCAACTCTTCCGCCGCCTATTACTATCCCCCCAACAGTTCCCTCTTCTTCCAATTCAACAAATTTGCATATATCTCGCAACACTCAAGAGTTCATAATTGAAGGGAAACTACTAGCAGCCTCCACTTCATCAGGTATCATTCCTATCGCTTCTCAATCTCCTTCACTATTTAATATTCCCTCCCACACCACCTCTCCCCCATCACCCGATTCTAGTCCTCCCTAACCAATATTGATCCAGCAGCCACCAAATCCTCAAGACACTATGCCGACTACCGATGCCCCTCCACCCTCCAGTGTGGTCCCACCAAATCCTCCAGACACTATGCCGACTACTGATGCCCCTCCACCCTCCAGTGTGGTCACACGGTCCAAAAATAATATCTTCAAACCGAAAAAACAATTTTGCTTCTTGGCTCACCATTCTTCCACATCAAATATCTTTAAGCAAGCAGTTAAGTACATTGAATGGAAGAATGCCATGGATCTGGAATACGAAGCCCTAATGAGAAACCAAACTTGGGAACTAGTACCTAGGACCCAATGAACAATGTTGATTGTAACTGGTTGTTTTGAACTAAATGAAAGTTGATGGTTCCATTGACAAGTACAAGGCGCGATTAGTAGCAAAATGTTTCACACAATATCCAGGATTGGACTTTATGAAACTTTTAGTCTGGTTGTCAAACCAACCACTATCAAGATCGTTCTATCCATCACAATTCAAAACAAGTGGAAAGTTCACTAACTTGATGTCAACGTCGCATTTTTGCAAGGTAACTTACAAGAGCAAGTATTCATGGCTCAATCGAAAGGCTACGCTAACTCTAATTTTCCCAATCATGTATGCCATCTCAAAAAGTCTATTTATGGCAAAAAACAAGCTCCATATCCCTGGTATAAGGCTCTCAAGTCTCATTTGACTGGTATCGGGTTTGTTAAGTTTCAATCAGATGCCTCTCTATTTATTTTCACATCTGAGGTTGTCACTATGTATATTTTGGTTTATGTTGACGATATCCTCATTACTTGGAATTACCCAACCCTTGTCACACATGTAATCGACTCTCTGGCTGGTAGGTTCTCCCAAAAAACCTTGGTTAACTCAACTATCTTTTTTGGGATCAAAGTTAAACATGTTCCGAATGGAATTGTCTTATAACACTCCAGGTACATACTTGAGATTCTCTTAGATGTGGATACATCAGACTATAAAGGGGTTGCGACACCCATGTTCTCAAGTTCACCTCCTACCAATGCAACCTTTAATCGCCGCATCCTGGTAAGTTGCTATACTTATCATTCATGCGTCCTGATATTGCATTTGCAGTTAATAAATTATCTCAGTTTATGCAATCCCCGAGTCTGGAGCACTTGAAAGCAGAAGCAGTAAAAAGGGTTCTCCGATATCTCAAGTCATCAACAACATTGTGCTTGCAAATATCTCGCCACTCTGATAGAAATCTACATATGTATGTTGATGCTGATTAGGTGGGCGATTGCTGTGATAGAATCTCCACATCTAATTATATACTCTTCTTGGGACCAAATCCTATCTGTTGGTCCTCTGGGAAGCAACAATCAGTTGTTTGATCTTCCACTGAAGCAGAATACAAATCGGTAGCCAATGCACTCTCTGAGATTACTTGGGTCCAAAACTTGTTGAATGAGTTACGATACCAAGTCTTACAAGCGCCAAACTTTTTTGCGATAACATTGGTGTTTCATATCTCAACAAAAACCCAGTCTTCCAGACTAACATGAAGCACATTGCACTAGACTTTTATTACCTCCGCAACAGTGTGCAATCAGGCAGAGTGATTGTCAAATATCTTCCCGCCATGGATCAAAATGCACACACTCTCACAAAGCCGCTGCCCAAACCTGCCTTTCTTCGGTGTTTATCAAAGTTAGGTGTTGTTGCACCACACCTAACTTTAGGAGGTGTGTTGAGATACTCATAGTTTTCAGGTTTATAGAGTAGATTTAGTTCAAATCATTTGATCTTTTCTTTTTCACAAGATTATATTAAGTTGTTAAAGAAATTCCTTAGAGTTAGTCAAGTTAGTTATATATTAAGTTGTTAGTGTACTTCCTCAAAATTAGTCAAGTTAGTGACATCTTACTTGTATTTAAGTTGACGTTACCATTGAACAAGATCATTCATGTTTGCTTTGATTCTCAATCTCTTTAGATGTTAGTGGTTAGTGGTGCTTACTGAGAAATGTGTGGTATATAATGATGATGTTGGTGGAAAACTGATCGTGATGGTAGTTGTGATGTCAAAAGTAGGAATTGGTTGTAGTGATGCTAATTTTTTGTAGTGGTGGCGGTGATAATGATGGTTGTTATTCTGAATATAACTATAATGATGGAAGTTGTAGTGGTGACAATGATGGTGGTTATTCTTAATATAACTATAATGATTGAACTGGTAGGTGTGATAGATCGCGACTGACGGTAATAGTTGGCAACGATGGTGATTATGATGACAGAGATGGGTTGGTGATGGTGGTGGTAGTTGACAATGGTAGTGGTAATTATGATGGCAGAGGTGATTAACAGTGGTGGCCGATAGTTGTGGACAAAGTGGTAATAAAATTGTTCACACAAAAATACTTTTAATAAAACTGCCTAATTATGCAAAATACTACACTATTTACTAATTCTTCCTTTTGTTTAAAATAATTACATATTGTCGCAGTAGTTAATAATTCCATACAAGATTTCAAGTTACATATTCCTAGATACATGTATTTTTCTACCATATACTATCTGAAATATAGATACAAAGGGAGGAGCGAGAGAGGAGAGGAAAACAAGATAGGAGGGAGGCGAGGGAGAGAATCAATGTATCCCAGATACATGCGACATGTAATTGAGGTACCATATACATTCCACATATATTCTAAAATACATATACACAAAGAGGAGTGAGTGAGATAGGAGAGAGGCGAGCAAGAGAGTTACAAATCACACTACATATATGTATTTGAGATACCATATACATTGAAGATACATTATGACATACAAATGTATAGGAAGAGAGGCAATTGAGAGAGAGATAGTCAATCAAAATAGAAGAGATGTGAGTGAGAGAGTCATTGTATCCATGATACATGTAAATCCACTTGGATACAAGTATCTGAAGTAAATTACACCTAATTTTTACTCATGTATCCAAGATACATCTATCTAAATGCATCACATACATGTATCTGAAGACCGAAATCTTGCACGAATAATCATTTCAAAATTTATGAGAAGGCACGTAATCAAGACCTTAATTAGTGAGATTTGTATTATTTTCCCTAATATTAATACTTTAAAGATTGAGTAGGTTATCAACTTCCTTGTGTTTATATTGACCCAAAGATTGAGCCATTAATTGTCGGAATACCTTGAAGAGCACATGCTTTCAAGTATGCCATTCGATTCCAATACAATCTCATGTGATTTATGAAGTTCACATGAGGCAATTCTTATAAATGGCCAAAAATACAAGAAGACAAGTTTTCATTCAGTTTGTTATTCTTAATTTGTTATAAAGATATAAATTCAGGATTCCTCTGATCAAAATCATCTATTTCAACCATAAGAAGTGCATTATCAAACAATCTATATTCCAGAAAGCACCAAAAATATATTCTATATGAAACTATTTTTAAACAAGAAAGTCAAAAGTACCTGTGAGAAAGTTGAAAGTTACCCATTTTATAGGGTGTGAGCAAAGGATTTTCCATCTCGAGCTTTCTCCTCTATTTTGACCTTCACTGCAATTCTTGCACTAAAATGCAAAAGGTGTTGTTAGTATACAAAACTACAAGGAAAAAGTAGAGGATGATGCTCATATGAATAATACTACATGTGTGTTTATTTGAAAAAACACAATACTACAGTAATTGAAAAGTAAACAACGTGTTCAAATTTGGATTCAGAGATTTACGAGATAGTTATGTACATTCTATTTAGATATTAAAAATATGCAACGTGTTATGTTGAAGGTTAGTTAGGGTGTAAAAACACATAGATCCATTACAGAGATGAAGAAGGTTGAAGATAAAGCCACATAACATATTTAACAGATTTAGTATGTGTGCTCTTTGTCATTAAATTGAAAAATAAGGGTATTTTGGTCCCTTAGGCTCATCAAACTAATAAGTTTGCTCTCCATTCTCCTAGGCTGTATACGTGTCTTTCAATTTGGAGTTGAACAATAGATTTTGAAGCTGAGGGGAAAAAGAACAAAAAATGGGTAGTAACTTTGCAGGTCACATCTTAGAGGCTAAAAGTATTGCGTTCAATATATAGTTATAGTAAACCAATGAATAGAAGAGCTAACCAAATATCACAATAGCTAAAAGCAGTTCTAAATTGTAATCAATATAAGAGCTAACATAATATCATAGAAGCTAAATGAGATTGTAAAACATAATGAATAGAAGAGCTAACATAATATCACAATAGCTAAAAATTGTTGTAGTGATGTACCCATCCTTTCAAAAACATCAGCACAATCTAACAATTCATTCCTTACAAAACTCCTTGAGAAAATTAATTTTGAAACACAAGACTCAAGTACCTAAATATAAATGTCTCTCATATAATAGTTAAAGTTCTTCTATTTCTTTATATATATATATATATATATATATATGAAGTTTAATGAAGAAGAAGTAATATCCCACAAGCTCTAAGCATTTGTTTAGTACTTCATTTCATTTTCTTGTAGTGATTGGTTTTTATATGTTTTGTTTTATAATTGCTTCTTCTATTTCTTTATATATATATATATATATATATATATGAAGTTTAATGAAGAAGAAGTAATATCCCACAAGCTCTAAGCATTTGTTTAGTACTTCATTTCATTTTCTTGTAGTGATTGGTTTTTATATGTTTTGTTTTATAATTGCTTCTTCTATTTCTTTATATATATATATATATATATATATATGAAGTTTAATGAAGAAGAAGTAATATCCCACAAGCTCTAAGCATTTGTTTAGTACTTCATTTCATTTTCTTGTAGTGATTGGTTTTTATATGTTTTGTTTTATAATTGCTTCTTCTATTTCTTTATATATATATATATATATATATATATGAAGTTTAATGAAGAAGAAGTAATATCCCACAAGCTCTAAGCATTTGTTTAGTACTTCATTTCATTTTCTTGTAGTGATTGGTTTTTATATGTTTTGTTTTATAATTGCTTCTTCTATTTCTTTATATATATATATATATATATATATATGAAGTTTAATGAAGAAGAAGTAATATCCCACAAGCTCTAAGCATTTGTTTAGTACTTCATTTCATTTTCTTGTAGTGATTGGTTTTTATATGTTTTGTTTTATAATTGCTTCTTCTATTTCTTTATATATATATATATATATATATATATGAAGTTTAATGAAGAAGAAGTAATATCCCACAAGCTCTAAGCATTTGTTTAGTACTTCATTTCATTTTCTTGTAGTGATTGGTTTTTATATGTTTTGTTTTATAATTGCTTCTTCTATTTCTTTATATATATATATATATATATATATATGAAGTTTAATGAAGAAGAAGTAATATCCCACAAGCTCTAAGCATTTGTTTAGTACTTCATTTCATTTTCTTGTAGTGATTGGTTTTTATATGTTTTGTTTTATAATTGCTTCTTCTATTTCTTTATATATATATATATATATATATATATGAAGTTTAATGAAGAAGAAGTAATATCCCACAAGCTCTAAGCATTTGTTTAGTACTTCATTTCATTTTCTTGTAGTGATTGGTTTTTATATGTTTTGTTTTATAATTGCTTCTTCTATTTCTTTATATATATATATATATATATATATATGAAGTTTAATGAAGAAGAAGTAATATCCCACAAGCTCTAAGCATTTGTTTAGTACTTCATTTCATTTTCTTGTAGTGATTGGTTTTTATATGTTTTGTTTTATAATTGCTTCTTCTATTTCTTTATATATATATATATATATATATATATGAAGTTTAATGAAGAAGAAGTAATATCCCACAAGCTCTAAGCATTTGTTTAGTACTTCATTTCATTTTCTTGTAGTGATTGGTTTTTATATGTTTTGTTTTATAATTGCTTCTTCTATTTCTTTATATATATATATATATATATATATATGAAGTTTAATGAAGAAGAAGTAATATCCCACAAGCTCTAAGCATTTGTTTAGTACTTCATTTCATTTTCTTGTAGTGATTGGTTTTTATATGTTTTGTTTTATAATTGCTTCTTCTATTTCTTTATATATATATATATATATATATATATGAAGTTTAATGAAGAAGAAGTAATATCCCACAAGCTCTAAGCATTTGTTTAGTACTTCATTTCATTTTCTTGTAGTGATTGGTTTTTATATGTTTTGTTTTATAATTGCTTCTTCTATTTCTTTATATATATATATATATATATATATATGAAGTTTAATGAAGAAGAAGTAATATCCCACAAGCTCTAAGCATTTGTTTAGTACTTCATTTCATTTTCTTGTAGTGATTGGTTTTTATATGTTTTGTTTTATAATTGCTTCTTCTATTTCTTTATATATATATATATATATATATATATGAAGTTTAATGAAGAAGAAGTAATATCCCACAAGCTCTAAGCATTTGTTTAGTACTTCATTTCATTTTCTTGTAGTGATTGGTTTTTATATGTTTTGTTTTATAATTGCTTCTTCTATTTCTTTATATATATATATATATATATATATATGAAGTTTAATGAAGAAGAAGTAATATCCCACAAGCTCTAAGCATTTGTTTAGTACTTCATTTCATTTTCTTGTAGTGATTGGTTTTTATATGTTTTGTTTTATAATTGCTTCTTCTATTTCTTTATATATATATATATATATATATATATGAAGTTTAATGAAGAAGAAGTAATATCCCACAAGCTCTAAGCATTTGTTTAGTACTTCATTTCATTTTCTTGTAGTGATTGGTTTTTATATGTTTTGTTTTATAATTGCTTCTTCTATTTCTTTATATATATATATATATATATATATATGAAGTTTAATGAAGAAGAAGTAATATCCCACAAGCTCTAAGCATTTGTTTAGTACTTCATTTCATTTTCTTGTAGTGATTGGTTTTTATATGTTTTGTTTTATAATTGCTTCTTCTATTTCTTTATATATATATATATATATATATATATGAAGTTTAATGAAGAAGAAGTAATATCCCACAAGCTCTAAGCATTTGTTTAGTACTTCATTTCATTTTCTTGTAGTGATTGGTTTTTATATGTTTTGTTTTATAATTGCTTCTTCTATTTCTTTATATATATATATATATATATATATATGAAGTTTAATGAAGAAGAAGTAATATCCCACAAGCTCTAAGCATTTGTTTAGTACTTCATTTCATTTTCTTGTAGTGATTGGTTTTTATATGTTTTGTTTTATAATTGCTTCTTCTATTTCTTCTTCAATTATACTTGAGGATGCCATTCTTTTTACTTATTTCATTGGCAATTGTTGGAAACATTTGTCCCTTTTCAACATAAGACAAAATAATAGCAATTTTGAACCAGTAAAATCTAAAGTCACTATCAAAATGATACATGAATCAACACAAATATCTTTTGTTTGTAAATATAAAAATTCATCCTTAATTATATTCAACAAAATGTTATCAAATAATTAAGATATTTATCTAACAATTTAGTAGAAATTTTTTCTTTGCAAGCTCTGATCTGTTGAACCTGTAAACTCTCATAATCCATATAATGGACAATAATTATGGCAAAGATTATAAAAGGACATTGAAAACAAAAGACCCTCCTGCTTAATGATGCAGAAGCAACAAAACCCTATGCCTAAGGTAAAATAAAATTTCAATGAATAAAGAAAGTCAGTAAAATATCTATTATTCTAGATTCAACCTCATGAGCAAAGAACACCAAGTAATAGGTAGGATTTTAGGGCATCAATCTTAAGCCATCTATGATAAATATAGAGAGAAATCATTGCAATTAATACCAAGTACTACCACAATGAGCAGCAAAAAACCAAATAAAACATAAAAAAATGTTACAATACTTATTGAATATAGTAAAACTCTGGGATGGTCGAAGAAGGCGATAGAATCGATGAAGAGAGAAGGAAAATATGTGTATATGTTCATATAAAACTGATGCGCCGACAATTTCCTTTTAGGGCAAAAAGACACGTATTATAAAGCATTATTTTTAATGACCAACTTACCCTTCACCTTTTCTAAAAGGATAAGCAAAACATACACATTGAAACAAAAATAATAATAGCAATTTTGAACCTGTATGCTCTAAAGTCACTATCAAAAGGATACATAAACTAACACAAACATCTTTTGTTGGTAAATATTAAAATTCATCCCTAATTATATTCAACAAAACATTATCAAATAGTTATGCTATTTATCTAAGAATTTAGTTGCAATTTTTTTCTTCGCAAGTTCTGATATGTTGAACTTGTAAACTCTAAAGTCATAGAGCATGAGGTTATAATCTTTATACTGGACAAAACTTGTGGCAAAGATCATAAAAACACATTGAAAATAAAAGACAAACATGCTTAATGAAGCAAAAGCAACAAAATTGTCATGACCTCAAATCATATTGTGATAGTGCCTACCACAACCCCTGAGTAGGCAAGACAAAAATCCAAAACTAACTTACAAAAGATTACTATTTAATAATACTATGATGAACAACTAAAAACACGAATAAGGATACATAATATGGC